GGACCCTGAAGTTCAAGATGACAGCCTAAGGCTGCACACGCCACACATTTGGAATCTGAGTGCTTGGGAGAAGGGATCCCTGGGAACCAGTGCTGTGGGGAAGATGGCACCAAACGAGTTTTTGAGGGACACCCAGGTCCACCTGGAGCATGAGGAGAGGCTGGCCACCTGCAGGGCATGGGGGAAGGGGGTGCAGGTGAGCAGACGCATGACTCACTTCAACTAGGGAGTGGGCCATGCCTCAGGTACTGCCCAGTCCTGAAGCCCATGGGTCCCAAAGCCTGGCACAGTGAGAGAAGAGGCAGCAGGGTATGGGAATAGAGGAACTGGGCATTTCAACATTCCAAGAAAAAACTGCGCAGGAAGAGCACGGGGGATCCCCACAGGCCCAAACAGGCACCTCTGGGGTTCAAGAGCCCACAGAAGCCACCGGAGGCAGCTCCCAGCCCGAGAGGAGGCGAAACTTGTCTTCTTGGTGGGGAGAAGAGGCCAGCAGTGCAGAGACGGAGCCTGCACACAGGTCCTCTGACAGCACCAGGGTGCCATGTGTTCACACACAAAAAGAATCGTCAGCTGGGATCAAACCAGGAGCCAGACGGCTGCTGGTCGCCGCTGCTCTGCCCAGAGGCCCTGCGGCCTGGCCACAGAGAGCTGGGATCTGGCCGCAAGTTCTGAAGTCTGTTGGGTACCGATGGGTTGTGATCTGGCCTCTCTGAGATTCAATTTCCTTACCTATAACATGCATGCAACGATATTGCCTGACTCAGAGGGCTGTGGTGAGGGTTTGGGGAGGTGATGCGGGCAAAGCTCTTAGCACAATGTCTACACATTTCTGCGTGGAAAATGTGGTGCCAGTCATCACTGTGATGGTCGTCGTCATCCTCGCCATCGCTACACGCCTTTCTAACCATCGTATGGTACTCGGAATCATGCCTTTGGGGCTGGTGATGGCAGAGAGACTGGGAGCACTGACCAGCTCCCATCGTGCTCCCCAAAGAGCCTGGGGGAGCTCAGAAATGTCCAGAGGAGGCTGCTGCTGCTGCCCACCCAGAAAACTGGCTAAAGCAGTCACCAAGGCCCTGGAGTGGAAGGCTGGACGGAAAGGTGGGAAGACTTGGGCAGTCCCATTTGCCTATCAAAAACTACATTCACTCGGCTTTCCACAGGACACATGCCCTAATATGGACCCAGCAGCTTTCTGGGTTATTTCGAGAACATGTGATAATGACTCCAGGCTTCGCTTCTGCTGCCCCCAGAAAACTTTCCATCTGGGGAGAGGGAGGACGGCTGGCAAAGAATGAGAAGGGCGCAGGGAAGCCCAAGGTCAGAGAGTGGGGAGGAAGTGGACGCTGGTGGGTGAGCCGAGGGAGGGAGAGAGGGGGCTGGAGGGTGAGGGCTGGCCAAGGGACCACGGGAAGAGGCAGGCACAGGAGCCCCGCGGGTCCAGCCAAGGGCTTCAGGACACGAGGTGGACACCTGACCCCACGCCCTGCCTACTGCTCACTGTCCCAGTGAAGTTCGCCCTGCTTGGGACCACAGCCGGCTCTGAAGGGAGGGATTTAAGGGCAAGGCCACAGAGGTCCCACAGCCTGCCTCCTCGCCCGTAACTCTGGCGGGGGTCCCTTTTGCACAGGAGCCACGCTGGGCTCCTGGGCCTCAGGCAACTGGCCGGTGCCGGGGGGCCCCTTGGCTCCTTGATTTATTTTCGTATTAATTATCTTTCTGGCCAAGCGGGGTCATCAACTCCAGACTGCACAGGGTTAACTGCAGACAGAGGGGCTGGCTGGCTTTCCTTCACTCTACCTCAATTTCTACTGCTTCTATCACCTACCTCCCCCACCCCCTGATCTTAGGGAAAAAAAACCCATCAAAATAACTATTTTATGTCTCCAAATATGCAGATCATTTTCTTTAATGAAAGATGCTTGACGTCTCCGATCCAATTAATATGCAAATGCAGGAGAGGATTTATTTGTGACATTCTGTCTGGGTGAGAGAAAACAAAAAAGGCCTGTTAACCAAAACACTAATTGCTGTGACTGATTGTCACATATCATCATTTTCATAGGATCTCCTCCATTCCCGGCTCGCAGGGAGCTTGAAACCAGTACTGGTTCCATGCAGGCATCAAGGAGAAACAGGGCAACTGGCTACCTGCCCGCGTGACCCCCTTGCCATCAGAGCCCGTGGGGGTGCTGGACGAGGGTGGAGGGTCAGCCAGCGACCTCCCGGCCTAAGCTGTACCTCACCACTTAGGTGCTGACCTGCAAACCAGGAACTGGACGGACCCAGCCTCTATTGGATCTGGCAGGCCTGGGAGGCCTCAGGCAGCCTCAGCCCAGCAAATCTCTGGGTTGTGGCAGAGGCCAACTGCCTTTTTGCTGCCTGACCTGCCTGCTAGGAAGCAGGGGCGGGCCCATGCCGAGGGGAAGAAGAGGGGCCAGGGCAGCCTCTTCAGGTCTGCCCAGCCGCCACTCTGCACGGTCTCTTCCTGTGTTCCCCTGCTTTATCTTTTACCTTGAGCACCAGTTGACAGAGGCCACCTAGGGAAACTGAGGCACGGCACAGCATCTGCTCCGTAAGATGACACAAGTGTCTATGGAAAATTTGGAAGACCACCGCTGTGTCTGGGTGGATACCTGTGTCTTGGCCCCGCCCCTTCGTGACCAGCACTGAAGTGGGCCGTCAGCTGTCATAGCCGCCATGAGGATTCCTCAGAAGGACCATGAGACTTCCTTTACCCCAGGGCTTTAGAGAGAGCAGGGAGGAGAGTGAGTGTTGACAGGCACCCCTATTCTCAAAGACCCAGGGAGAACTTGAAAGGACACAACACGTTTTGCTCAAGACACTCAGTAAAGGACGAGAAGGCTCTGGTGCCACATAGTTCCAAAATCGAGGCCAAGGGCAGAAAAAGATTCTCGAAAGCAGCCTTCCGTCCCACACAGGGGCCAGCGAACTAGAGGAGCCTACAGGGCAAGGGTTTAGGGCCTGAGTAGCTTAGAGGGCTGATCTCCTTCTATTCCAGCTCAAATATTCTTGGCGCTTGGAGAAGGCTTCCTCTATTTTCCCATGACCTTCCTAGAGCTCCTCCAAGTTTCCAACGACACTGGAACCTGGGGGCTGGGAGCCCAAGTGAGCAAGGCCCACTCATAGCGGGGCAGCTAAGAGGCAGGTATCCAGTGAGCACCAATTCAAACTGGCCTGGGCTCCACATCTGCCCCCAGCAGAACCACGGTGGTGGCTGAAGGAGGCCCCATCCCACTCAACTTCCATTTCAAACAACCCCGTCTCCTGTCCCAACCCAGCTGCCTCCCTCTGGCATTACTGCCACAGGCCTCCAGGAAGAGCTGGCGCCAGGGCTGGATGGGGCAGACACTCTCCCCACATAAAGGCCTGCCCCCGCACCCCAGAAACAGGCTCAGCAGGATGCCGTGCGGGGGAGCTTGGAAGCCTTCCGGGAAGAGCGCTGCCTTGGCACCAGTCCTGCGGGAAGGAGGTGAGCTGGGTCTGCCACTGTCTGCGCTCACCTGACGTGCGCCCACGGCAGCTCAGCACCAATGGGGTATGCGTGGGTGCAGACGGGAGGTGCGCATCATGGCGCCAGGAGCCAGAGGAGGAAGGGCAAGTGGCTGGGAGTGGCAGTGGGCTGGCTGGTCACTGAACAGTACCCTGGCTGTAAACCGGACGTGGGAAGGCGCCATCTGCCAGCGTGGATGGTGGGTGGGTAGGGGGACAAGAGGAAGGGTCTTATCTGAACACTGAGCCCTTCATACCAGCCAGAGGTGCCCACTTCCCCCCGGCCTGTCCATCACCACTCCACAGTGAGAGGGGACGGGCTTCGCTCCTTCCGCACTTGTGCCCATACTGCAGTCACTCCCAGGTACAGCTTCCTGGAGGGCTCTGGGGGGTGGGGGCTCTCACTGTGCCATGATTTAGAGCTCCTTTAAAACCAACCCATCTGTGTAGTAAAACCGCCCATAAAACAGAGGAGCCAGTGGCCGTGGCTCTGAGCAGTCTTTTCAAGCCAGGCGCTGGCCTCCCACCTGCCGCCTCACCCCAGCCCCGGTGCCCAGCCTGGGGGCAGCACATGCCCCGTCGGACACGGCAAATTTAGGTGGGACTGGGCCAGCTTCCTGGCACTGGGCAGTGGGCTCCTGCGTGTTGCAGGTGAGTTTCTCATGGCGCAGAGGAAAGGACTCTCCACGGCATCAAACCAGCAGCCCTGGCTGGGAGCTGCCCCCGTCTCTGAATCTTCCTCACCCTGGCTCCCACTTTCTTCTCCCCGTGGCTTGGGTCCTCCAGGACTGGATGCCCAGGAGGCTCATCCCGTGGCTGTGTTTCTCTCCAACTCCCCTTGCAGCCTGGTCGCTCTCACGGTCGGCGTCACTCGGCCTATCCCAGTGGCCTCCCCAGTCCGTCACTGCCTGAACTTCATGGACCCCAGCCCCGGAGCCCACCCTGTTCCTTGGGGGTTCTTCCCAAGTCCAAACTATGCCAGCAGGGGGTCAACCCCAAACTCACACCCAACCGCTAGCATCTGCCCCAGCTTCCCAGATCACTCTGGCTTCCTGGTGAGGACAAGTCCTGTTTTCCAAACCGACCTTGGCGCTCTTTGACCACAGCACACTTTGGGCGAAGGTGGAAGAGTCCTCCCCATCTTTGCCAAAAGAGGTGTCAGGCTAAAGTTACACCAGCTTTAAAAATACCCCAGCGCACGATCCACAGGGTGAGAGCAAAGGCCACGTGGTCAGAGCTGGGCTATAAATAGCCAGCAAATCACTTCCCAGCGCCACGGCCCCCTCCCCAGCACCAAGAACCTTTCTGAGGAAATCAAAGTGAATGCAACTGTTACCAAGTCACTACTAAAATATTTACCAGCCTGGCGAAGTGCCGAAGGTGCTTGGCACCGAGTGTTTGCTTATTTACAAGGCTGTTTTAAAGGGTAGAAAGCAAAATAAGGTAACCTGAGCTATTAAACCCAGGGGCCAGGTGGTACCTACCAGCTGTCAGTCGTCCCAGGCATGTCGGGAGTGAGAACCACTATTACTACTGCTGCTGCTACCAGCACCACCGTTCATTGGAGATTCCCCTGAAATGGATCAGGAAAGCAGAGAGACGCTCTGGAGCCCAGGAATCACCCAGACCGCAGGGGTAGAGGCTCAGGGAGTGGGAGCAGAGAGTGTTAGAGGTTAGAGAGGCGCATCTCCCCCAGCCAAACCCACCAGGGCCCAGCGCGGGCTCTGAGGCTGCCCTGGTCTTCACTCGGAGGGGCAACCCAGGGGCACTGCCCAGGCAGAGGCAGGGGCCAGGGCCCTGGGAGGGAGAGGCGAGGTGGGGAAGGGGAGGCAGAGGAAGGCAGGCGGGGGGCTGGCTGGGAGTCTCAGAGGATGACATAAGTGGGCCACAGCCGACCTGGGGAAAAGAAGGCACTCAACTTCTCCCTTCCTCCTCTTTCTTTGAAGTTTCCTTGTGGTTTGAATTTAATTTTGATTTTCTCAACTTCAGCAGATTGAAGTTGAAATAACCTACAAATTACTTAATGTGTTGTAAATCTGGGGGAATTCGGGAGTAATTGGGACCACATGTTGGCCGGGAGGGAGCCCACAGAGGACAGAGGGAAGGCAGCCCTTGCAGATGCGCAGGTGGCTGTCCCTGGGAAGCCGGATGCCTGTTCTCCCTGGAGGGAGGGGGCTTGGGCTCCCCTAGGTGGGGGTAGGATTCCCAAGTTGGCCAGGGAGCCCGGGTGGATACGGTGAGAACGTGTTAAGACCATGGACTGACCAGGTCCCTGCCCAGGGCAGCCCGGTGACCGTGGACATGGGGCGGCCAAGTAGGCCGGGTGCCAGGCGTCTGCCAGGCCCCTCCGCCGCGCCAATGCCAACACCGCGGCCGCCTCCCGCTGCATGCGTGTGGCTGTCAGCTGAGCTCCCCTCCCGCCCTCCCTCTCCAGCAGCCTCCTCTCAAGTACTGAGCCATATGGTTCCAGTTAAGCTCCATATTTTTCCTTGTCGATTGAAGAGACACACTTTCCTCTTTGCCAGACAGTTTGCAGATTGCTCTGTTGGCTCAATTTCTTATTGGATTTCTCAAAAAACCTGACATTTTAAATTAATTTACAGCCACAACAAAAAGAGTTCAGAATTTTAATGGTGTTGTAAGTAATTTTTAGGTAATCCACTCCAGATTTTGATATTAACCTTTGAAACTGGAGTTCATTCAGCTACTGTTACAATCCAGTCAGACTCCAGGCCTAGGGGAGGCGGGCCTGGGGAGGAGGTGGAAGCCAGGTTCTGGGAAGCCCTTTTTTTTTTTTGCTGGGAGACCCCAGAGAGGAAGGTGCTGGGGAACCCTGGACAGGTGAGTGACAGGGAGTGGCGGTGGGGAGGGGGATGGCAGGGAGGCCTGAAGACAGCAGGGCAGGTGTAAAAGAATCATTGAGGGGGCCAGGGAGCCTGCTGAATGTTCTAGAAGGACCGGCTGGACTTAGCAGGGGGCAGCATCCTCAGGATCCCTTAGTAGCAAGAGCAGGGTGAGGCTGCACCTCAGTGCACCAGGAAATAATGGTAATAGCGAGAATAATCACGACAGCTGGCATTTGCTGGGCAGTCACTATCTGTCAGGGGCTGTAGTGAGTGCTTTACATACATTTCGCACTGAGGCCTCGGACTGCCCGTGGGGTAAGGCCTATACTGTCATCACTACTGCTACCATCACTACTGCTACCATCAGCCGCCGCCACTGCCACCAGCACCACCATTCGTGGTTAGTGTTTACAGAGGGCTGACCGCGTCCCAGGCAGAGCGAAGCCAGTTTTATGAACCACCTCATTAAATGGCAACAGAAACCCTGTAGGAGACACACAGTGTTCTGCCCTCATTTACGGAGGAGGAAACGAGGCTTAGGGAGGTGAAACCAGGTCTCCCCAGCTTGGGGCTACTGGCTAACAGCCGGCGCCCTGGGACGCCATCATCCTCAGTCCGCTCCGTGTCTCATTTCAGAAGATGCTACAAAATAGTCGTGGCCGTCATGTTTCTCCTGGCTGGAGCTGGAGGGAGGAGGAGGAGGACGGCGCAGTCCTCCAGGATGGCTAGGCTTTGGGCTGGCAGAGGATGCCACCTCTTCCTCGTGCTGCCTCAGGCCAAGCTGAAGGCTGCATGCCAATCCGGCCGGAGGAAACACTGGGCATGGGGAACAGAGCCCTCGCCAGCATCTTTACTAGGCCCTGGCGCTGTGCGGCCCCTGCCTGGGTACGGTGCCAGCTCGCTACACCAGCAGATCGTTAGCATTCCTTTCCTGCCGGAGCTGCCCAGGGTACCCAGGGAAGGAGATGCTGAAGATGAGGCCCAGCCAAGGCCGCTCTGATCCCCGGGGGGTCCTTGCTGCTGCAGTCACCCTGGGCTCTGAAGGGAGTCCAGGGAGAGGTTAGCCCGGGGCTGCTCAGAGGCCCAGGGGGTCTTCCCTGGCATGCCCCTTGTCCTAGGGGAAATGGATCGGGGAATGAATTCGTGCCTGCCAAACCCATGGAGGTGTCAGGTAAATAGCGCCATGTGGGGCTTCCTGGACAGTTTCTCTCTCACGAAAGCCAGGGTGGAGGGTAGGGGCACGGGGAGAGGTGACTGACTGGCAAGATTTTCACTTTACCCACTCTGGAAGTGAGCACAGCCTGAGAGTGAGGAGGACTGGGGCAAAGGCAGAGGGGGAGCCATGGGCACCAGTGTGAAGTCCAGCCCGCCACGGAGGGTGGCATGGACAGAGCCTCGAGAAGGAAGAGGGAAAGGGAGAGGTGGCCAGGAGTAGGGAGTGCCCCTCGACAGTCCCAGGCCTGTGGGAAGTTGGGCCCCCAGGGCGTCTCACAGGCAGGGCTGCAGAGCCATGGGGCACCTGCTGTTGGAGCCCAGCCCCCAGCCCCCATGCCTGGTCGGCCATCCGGCTATTCATTCACAGCTCTCCATGTGTGCTATTTGGGGTGCCAGGTTTGCCAAAGGCCTTTTAAGTAAAGAAAAATACCCGGCCTCCCAGAAACTCACAAAGACTCCAGCTCCTTGAATCCCTGGGCCCTGGGCACCACCCCACACTGCCCCGTGCCCATCCTTTGAAAGTTCGGAAGCTTTTATGGTTCTGTCCTGAAGGACTCTCTTCCTTGCTCCCCAAAGCCCCCATGCTGGGTTCCTAGACTCCAAGATTGAAAAAACACTCCTTACCCAAAGTGCCAGGAGTTGTGATAGGAACTCCTGCCCTCCCACCACGTCCAGGAAGGAAAAGTGTCTGCACCCTAGGGTTCAGGGTACTAGAAAGCAAAAGTGGGGTTGAGAAGCTGGCCTTTGCCTCCTTCCTGATCAGAGGCTCAGGAAGGCCAGGCAGCAGCTGCCAGGGCTGCCCTCAGCCCTTGCCCAGACTGTGGAGACCTGGGAACCTGTGGAGCCCCTGGCTAGCAGCCAGACAGCATGTATGAGTGTCAGGGGGTGAGGTGGAGAGAGAACTCAGGCTTGCCATGCCCCGGCGCCATGCCAACACGTGGAAGGTTGAACTAACCCCGGGCGCGATGCCACGTGCCCAGGAACTGGGCATCTGCTGGCGCAGCAGCATGTGAAGAACGAGGGGTCCTACCACTGCCTCTGCTCCGGGCTTCCCCTCAACACATCGTGGTGGTGGGTCTGCTCTTTCCCCACATGGCACTGGGTATGGGGCCTTCCAGTGTCCCCTTGGCACCATGCCCGCCATATACTGTGGGCTATCCCCATTGGCACCAGGCCGCACACGGCAGGATGCAGACACCCTGCTGGACTCTAGCCAAGCTCTGAATGGCTCTCCCCGCTGGCCTGAGGCCATCAACTGGGCACCTCTGGGTTTGGGCCCATGGGACCCCCCTCCTGCCCACCCTCTGCCCACGGACAACCACGCACCATCATTTCATGGACCCCGGGGAAAGGTTAGATGCCTTCGTAAAATTCGATGCAATATACAAACTATCTGCAAAAATGAAAATGAACATCCTTCCCGCCGGTCACCGGGACCATCCCGTGTCCCTGGTTAAATTTTCATTTGTGTTCCAGCCGAGGCCGCAAACCCCAGAAAGTTTCTGAATTGTTTCTCTGCCCAGCTGTCTACTGGCCTCTCGCTCTCTTTCCAACTCTTTCTTTCTTGGCTTCTTTTTTTAATTATTATTATTTTATTTTTTATTTCCCCCTCTTGGTCAGGTTAAAGCGCTCCTGAGGGGTGATTGACGGGGGTTGCCATGGAGACCCCGGCTTGAAAAAAAGCCTCGTTAGTTGCCAACTCTGTGTGTTGTTGTTTTACAACTGTGACCGACCGTCACATGAGAGGGGGGACAGCTGGGGGCCGGGCCGCACAAAGGGGAATGGCTTTTTAATGGAGTGCCTGGCCGGCGCTTGAAGACTCAATAAAGAGTTGCTGGTGAGTCCCCTCGCTGGGCCGGGCCCGGCACACGGGGCCGCAGGTCCTTTGTTCCACAGGAGCCGGGATGGGAAAGTTGGGAAAACCAGCCCCCAAGAGGTGAAAACAAGAGGCCTTCCCCCCCACTTTCCGGACAGCTATTTTCTGTTACTCTCACGGTGCCCGGACCGAGGGGACAAAACCTTGTCTTGGACAGGCTGCCATGCTGGGGGAGGCGGGTGGGAGGCAGCTGGGGGAAGGGGAGGGGGGCGAGGCGGCGGGGAGGAGGGGGCGGCCGGCCTGCGGCTCCTGCCCCCCAGGCCCTCGGCGGGAAGGCAGGTGGCGGATGGGAAACTAGGCCAGGCCGGGGCAGGGCGGGAGGCCGGAGGGCCCAAGCCAGGCCCGTGCACGCACGCGGGCGCCAATGGGAAACAAGGTGGCTGCAGGGGGCTTCCTGGGGGAGGAGGACCAGGCTCTTCTCGCTGTGGGCCAGGAGAATGCCCATGTCCACAGACTGGCACTGCGGGGTGGCCGGGCCCTGGCGGCTCCTCTCCCTCTCCCGGCCGCCTCATGAGAACGCTCCAGCCCCTTAGCTCTTTTTGCCACCGCAGTCCAGGGAGCCAGGAGGAGGTGCCAAGTGGCAGTCCACCCTCAGGCTGAGAGCTCAGCCCCTTCGGATGGCAGAAACCAAGTGCCAGAGTGTTGGGGGCTTAGGGGAGCAGCTCTCAAAGCGTGGTCTGCAGGCTTCTAGGGGTTCCCAAGACCCTCCCAGGAAGCCAGAAAGTCTAAAGTACTTCCATAATCGCACAAAGTTTCAATGTGCCCTTTTCAACGTGGGGACATGACACTGAGGCTTAGGGTGAGCAGAGCTGCCAGGGTCCTGGCACAGACCACAGCAGCATGTGAGAAGGTGTGGTTGCTCAGCACACACCCTTCCAGCTCGAAAAAAGCCATATTCACTTTATTTTTGAGATGGAGTCTCACTCTGTTGCCCAGGCTGGAATGCAGTGACTTGATCTCGGCTCACTGCAACCTCCGCCTTCCAGGTTCAAGCAATCCTCCTGCCTCAGCCACCTGAGTTGCTGGGACTACAGGCATCTGCCACTGCACTGGCTAATTTTTATATTTTTAGTAGAGACGGTGTTTCACCATGTTGGCCAGGCTGGTCCTGAACTCCTGACCTCAAGTGATCCACCCACCTCAGCCTCCCAAAGTGCTGAGATTACAGGTGTGAGCCACCATGCCCGGCCCCATATTCACTTTAAAATGTCCTTGATGAGGCTGCAAATCTTACTAACTTTTAAGAAGTCTTTTTTTTTTTTTTTTTTTCCGTTTTGAGGTGGTCTTGCTCTGTTGCCCAGGCTGGAGTCCGTGGCGCAGTCTTGGCTCACTGTAACCTCTGCCTCCTGGATTCAAGCAATTCTCCTGCCTCAGCCTCCCAAGTAGCTAGGACTACAGGGGCGTGCCAACACGCCTGGCTAATTTTTGTATTTTTAGTAGAGGGGGGT